GATCGTTCGACCATGATACAATTTCCGTATCGATATATATATATATATAAGTAGTCTAGGACTCCATATGTTTCTGCTTTTCTATGCCTGAGTCTATATCCCTCAATCTTCAATTTCACCACCCGGTCCGGGGTCAAATGTTGTTTCATACAGTTTTCTGGACTTCCTTTGATCACTGCAACCCTTCCTCCACGTTCCGCTCTTCACCAACAGAATCGCTCATGTCTGGCTCCGCCAATTCATGTGAACATACAGCCATACAGCCTTGGCAGTCAACAGAACCATTGTCGGGTGGGGCAAGGTTCTGTCCATTAATTAGTATAGGATACTTGCACATGGTTTCACCAATAGAGATAGGAAAGATCTTCCCAACCGTCCCAACCATTCGATATATCCTTTTGACATATCTACCTCTTCCACTTAGATCCTCTCCAGATCATCCCTCCTCTCGTTTTGTCCATTGCTCCGTCCATCCCGACCCCAGGCGCGGTCCGAGTCCTGGCCGATCGAGTACACCCCAGCGGTCGAGCAGACGAGTGGTGCGGAGCCCAAGAGGATGAGCCTACAAGTCATGGAATGCATTATGCATTGTGCGGCACATGATGTGCCTTGTGTGGGTGGGTTTTCGAGTGTTTTGAAGAAATGCGCTCGATCTTTTAGCCGCAGCAGATGTCAGCTGTTTTGAAAGAGGAACTGAGAATCCTGGTCTAATCCTGGTCTAATCAGAGGATGTCGGCGACCACTGTTTCAGTTGTTCTTCAATCCTACGACTGCTAGGGCCAAATCGACAGAATGTCCACCAATTCGAAGGGAAGAAGAACGAAGAGGTGTCCACTTTGGTGTCAGTGTGGTCGGGAGATCCCTTCCGCAGGCCATGGTTAGGCCGCTAGGCTTAACCCAAATCCCGCAATTCCAAAGAAGGCGGAAGGGGTTAGGTGAGGCGCTTGGAACCACAAGTATTTTCCAATCCATCGTGATCTTCTCCATGGCCCCAGGAGTACGGGCGGACTCTTTCAGAGAAGCACATAGCTCTATGTTGATCTTTTGAAGGTTACAATGATGATTCTCCCACTATACACAGGCGCCTCATGCCAATGTCGCAATTTCACCTCTCCAACTCCCATCAACTTCACGTGAGAAGGAATCCTGGGCACCTATGACATTGATGCCAACGAAGGACAACAACGGAAGTAACAACAGAGTACGGAAACTTCAAAGAAATCTGATGAAGCTTCTAGTTTCGAGAAATCGGGGCGGGCGGGGTTCATTGACGGGTCTTCTCAACCACTTCGGTTGCCGAACTCCTTCCACTCCGGCAGCGGCGTGGTGCCTTGCGTCGGATCGGAGAGAGTTTCCAAACGGTCTCGATGGACGTGGGGTTTTAACGGTTTGGTCACCCATCCCAAGAAATGTCTGACTATCTCTCCTATCTTGGAGGGACATAGGAGACCGTTTGGGAACTCTTTCAGAACTCTACACTCCTCCACCCTATGGATCCACGTACCGAACCTCAGAAGGCGTCCTTGGACCCTCCCACCGCGCCTACATAAATAGTCTCCGTCCTCACCGTACCTCAGGTTCGGAACTCGTGGATCCATAGGCGCCAGGAAGAGGAGCGGCGCTCAGCGTTCCGGTTCGGAACCACCGATGGTTGGACGGGAGAGAGGATGAAATCCACCGAGTTGATCATGATTTGCTTGATTGAATCATCGTCCTTTTTCGGAAAAGCATACATGAAGAGATCCCAGTTGGGGTGAACATTTGCTACAAAACATGGGCATTCTTGGCGTTTTTGCTGCGCGAACCGGTTTGAGGGAGAGTAGATGCACAGGTGCACCATTTGAATCCAGCGGTGAGCCGGGGAGATGGCATTTGTGGCTTTAAAGACTGTGTTTGTTTTGTCATGCTCCTGTGACTGATTCTAGTCAAATGCCGCGAAAGAAAGGAAAAACTACAGGTTACTTTCAATGTCATTCTTGAGGCAGGGTATTTCTTCCCATTGGTTCATGATGCGGGGCATCTTCATTTGCTTCGAAGCCATTTGAAGCGCATTCACCTCCGCCTCGGATGCCATGGAAGACGTGAGTCCGGACACCGCGCTGATCGACCTGGAACAACTGGGAACGACGAGTGCTGTGGGGTCCGCGGGGCGTCCGATCCCTTGGAAGAAGCTGTCGGTGGCTGCGGTGGTGATTGGGACTGTGGCGTACTTGTCATGGCCCAAATCATCGACTACAAGCGCAGTGAAGAGGAGCGTCCAATTGTCCTCGTGGGAAGATACACTTGAGGAGTGTACCAACTTGTTCCAGATGGCTTTGGATGCTGATGAAGACTCTGTCCAAGTCGGGGTTTTCGACTATGATGATCAGACCTTGGCGCAAGAGAAGATCCGCACAGCTGAGCAAGCAGCGAAAGCCATGCATGATCCAGAAACCAACTTTGTCCAGATCGGCACATGTGGTATGCAGGTGGGTGGGAATATAGGGACTGGGCCGATATGGACCTGCATTCCCGCATCGTCCTGTAGCCCCCAATCAGAAGTTATTAACAAGCAGCATAAGTAAGTCGCTGCCTCACTAGTCAAGTCAGAGAATTCACAACTCACGAGATCACTCACTAGTTGAAGAAGTCTGAGGGATTGCGGGGTTTCACTGGTTTTGTTGCTTGCAGGTCCAGGGTTGTGAGTAGCATTGCAGTGGCTGCCATACAATGCAATATGTGATACAATCGTACGCCACACTCTGATTGCAGTATGTTCTAGCGCGGTGGTACGTGGTAGTTCTTGGTGTGTTGGGTCGCAAGTGTGTTCCACGCAACTTTGTACTGGAACTTCAATAACCTCAACTAATACCAATCGGTCAAGCAGTCATGCCAGCAATCAGCTTCAGCCAATCAGTCAACGAAGGCGACAAGAATAACCATGGCCACAGTTGGAGGATTCCATGCCTCAACGTTGGTGTGTTCACACGCAACGTTTCGATGGTTTGGCAGGAGCGTTCGGTGGTTTGGCTGTACCCGGACAAGAGTGGCGACCACGACGGTGATGATCACGCTGCTTTCCTGGTGGCAGATGGAGAATGCAAGCGTATTGAAGCCCAAGTGAATGACAAAAAGTCCGAAGCCATTTTGATGCAGCTAGCAGCAGTTGTTTTTGATTGTTTGTTGCATGTGTTCATCGAAAGCAGAACTGTTCAAGATGCGAAGATGTGGCGTTTTTTCAATTTGCATCACCCCCTATCTATGTTGATGAGGGTGCTGTTGTCGACCTCCCAATGTAATTATACGTAGGATCTCCTTAGGGTGTTTCATTCCAAGAAACCTTTGGGGCAGACTTTTCGTTCGCCAGAAACATTCCACGATCTTTTTGTTGTCAACCAAAAATGGCTTTCTTCACATGGTTCAAACAGAAGCGGCGCCTCCATGCTTTGGCTCCGTCCTTCTTTGTTGCTCCGTTCGCTCGTCCTGTCTCGCAACTCACCGCTCGCGCTGCTCACACCGCCACCGAGGCCGCCTGCATCGCGGTCTATCGCATCCCGGACCCCGCGGCGGGCATCGCGGTGCTGAACCACTTCCATGGCATCGGCACCATCAGCCATGCCGTGGTGGGGGGACATGGATCGGATTCCGCCCAGACGCTTTGGGAACGTCGAGGGTGTGACGGTGGGGGGGGGGTTGATCAGAGGTGTGTGTTTTTTTGGGGGCCGGCGGAAGGAGGAAAGACTATAGGAGAGGAGGGGTGTTTTCGTTTTTTCGTAGAGGGAGCAGCGAAAGAGTATAGTGCTGCTAAGTGATGGGTGGACATTGAAACCTATAGGCCGGAAAAATGGGAGAGAAAGAACCACTCCCTGAAACAGACCTGAAACAGACCACCCGGTATTTCTGGGCTTCAGAGCCGATGTTTCGTGTTCCGAAACGGATCAGAAAGGCCAATGGTTCATCAGATGTGCCAGAACAATGCCATCGTCCAAACGAGGGTTCTTCATCTTTCATCGAGGATTGGGGTTGATGTGAGGTCTCCCATCCCGTAACTGCTCAGGAAGAATGGTGAGCTGCAAATGAGCAGTGACATTGACCTGTCGGGCAAAGATCCGATTGCCCTCACCTTGGTGGACACCTTGGCCACGAAACTGACACCCCATGGCACCATCTTCCTGGAGTCTTTGGCTGTGTCATCGTGCATGCCATTTTCTCCGGATCCGACCGGAAACGCACCAGCACCGCACGGAACTTCGGTGCGAAGCTGAGGATTCGTGCTTCGCAGGCATCAATGGAATTGCGGAGATGTTCTCGAAAAGGATTCCAGACCATTGGGTCGCTTGACACTTCAACCATGGTTCAATATCAGATAGATGCGTTTCCCTTTGTCCTGTATACTGCCTCCACTGTACGTGTGTCACTTCGTTTCAAACCAAGTGTTTTCCAAACAATGTGGTCCTCATGTTGAACGCCATCGCGCTTCTCCAGAGAGAGAGAGAGAGAGACACAGAAAGAGAGAGAGAGAGAGAGACCGAGACAGACCATGGAACTTTGCGAACGCCAAGTCCGAGCAAGTCCAAGTCCTGGCAGACCACCCCCTCTGGCGTAGGAACAAAAGCAAAAAATCCGCCAGTAGGAAAGCCGGCCAACCGCTCGGCTCAGGTCATGGGTGGCGTGGTCTCGTTGCAATCCTTCATCCAGGTGCACGACACGCCCTTCGATGGCACCGAAGCCTCGGGCCCCACGCAGGTGACCTCGGAGTTGGCCTTTGACCAGGTGGTGAATCCTTCGGAAGGCATCGATGCAGAAGGGGCCGCTTGGTGTATTTTTTTGTTTAAAGTGCGTTTTTGATGGGGGGAGTTGGGGCCGTACATGTTTGGTCTTTTTTGTGACCCTTTTTGTGAGGGTGGGCGCGGTGGGCGCGTGTGTTCTTCTTGGGGGAGATGACACCTGCGTCCGGGGGGGCGGCTAACATGTGTTCTAATTTATTCGATTTGGCGCGGGTTGCATTAGACCAGTCCTAAACTTTTAGGACTCACGCTGTGCACTTCCTCCCTGAACAAGGAAGGACGCAAACCACTTCGGCGAACGAAGCAAAACCCCCCGCGGTTTGAAGCCTTTTGAGGGTGGGTTTTCTGGCAAGTGTGTTGAACGTGCTTTTTTGTCGGGATCCCAGACCAATCCTCCAACCTGCCGATCACGTCGAAATTCTTCCGATCTTCGGTGGTGTTCCGGCCCGAACCGAACCGAACACATGCAGGTTCTTTCCTCCATCCTAAGGACCCCACCTTCGTCAAGGGCATGGCCTTCGAGAACGGCGGCAAGGTCGAGGAGATCGATCAGCTGAAGGGCGAGCGCGTCGTGGCCTGGTTCGGTGGCCAAAACCGCGGCAGCGTCACGCAATGGCTCTACCCCTCCGGCGACGAGGAGGCGCGGGTGCGCTGCGGGTGACCGGAAGGGGACCGACTTGGACCCGAAGAATGGACGTCCGGGAATCGAACCACTTGGAAGAAGCCTGTTCGTCGGAAAGCCAGGATTCCACGAGCCCCCGGCCACAAATAAGAAAGCGGCCAGGAAGTCCGGCCACAACATGTGTTTTGCCACAGCGTTTGTTGTTTTCGGGAAGACTCACTCTGGAGGTGCTGAAGGTGAATTGCAAAGTGGAGGTCCAGGAGCCATGGTTTTTACACCAAACATGTGTTGAAATCTGTGAAAATATGCAAATGGTTTAAACCTATCCTAAACAGTTGTTTTAAACATCTTAAACCCTTCAAAGCTGTTTTCAAGATATGTGTCAACAGGCACCGGTGCGCCAGCCCCTTTGTTCAGGAGCCGTTCTACGCGTTTCGCATGGGCCCCGCTGAGACGGAGCAAACAGACGAAGATGCTGAGGATGGCGATGGTGAGGCGAAGCTGGGAACAGTGATGGCATGGCATGCGGAGCGACAAAGCATCGGGTCCCAAACCAAACTGTTTCAGAGATGATAATTGGTTGGTGGTCTTTTGAATCCACTGTTGACCACCCCAACTCAGCCGGAAGATATGATGAAGAAATCCACCACATCTGCCGGTCCACCGTCTCCCCCAGCCCCATCCCACGGGCCCCTACGAGTACTGCAGCACAGTGAAGCACTTGAGTACCAACTGATGGGTATGATTCGGCCAGTTTTATGGGAATGTATGGGTCATAGGACGAAGATGAAACACCTCGAAATGTAGCACCCAAAATCTGATAAGGGAAGAAGCATGTCGGCAGCAGGAATCGCTCGTGTTTGTTGGCCTGTCTGTCAACAGTTGGCCGATGTTAAAATGTCGATTATGTTGGTCCCCAACGTCGAGCATTCAAACTGAGCTCCTGTGTTCCAAGCGCTGAAGCCGCGCAGGGCTTGGGTGTCTTCGAGCAGTTGCTACCACGGGGCTTAGAGGGATGGGTGGTGTTCATCTATGACGTGGGCAATGCGCCAACCTCGGGGAATGCGTTGATCAACTACGACTTGCCCAAGGAATTCAAGGAGATGGGCCCGGTTTTCGGGCAGGTCGGTTTTTTGAGCACGCCATGCCACCCCGGAAGTCCAAGTGAAACATCTTTCTGGTGGGGGACTCTCATCCTCCAACTCGACTCGTATTTTTCGCGTCGTTATCGTTGTCAAAAAAAAACCGAACCCATCAGTCAAAACCACCTGGCACACCGGGCACACGGACAGAGAGTCCCGTAGTTAACTCGCGGCACGTGTTCCGTCCGCTCGGCTCATGTACGGAACGTCTTCTTTGTGCCTGGTCGTTGTGAAATCCAAGGATCTGACAGGTTTGTGAGTCAGGCCTCACATGCTATTGGCATCGCTACTAGGAGCAAGGACGGAATAGGAAAACATACCATGCTCATTCGACTGGGCCTTTTCCTCTTTCCCCTGTTTCGGTCGCTCCGTGACGGCCAGGAGCAGGGAGTGACGGGTGGCACGGGACAGACCTTGGGTCCCTTGTTGACGCTGACCAAAGACTTCAGCAAACTGAGTGTGACCTGCCCTGAGTGATTCGAATCATCCGGATGTATATCATCTAAATCTGAAGGCCACAAAGCATGGCCAGACTTTTGCCACAAAGGATGGCAATTCAAAATAGTTAGATGAGGGTTCTTTCGATGGCTATGGCTCAAGATTCTTCTTACTCTACCAGTGGAATAGCAAGATGAGCCATATATTTAATATATATATATGATTGGTTGTTATACAGAAATGATACCACTCTTCTTGAGCCATACACAAAGAGGGGAGCGAATCGCTTAGTGGCCCTGTTTAAGTCCTGTTTAGTTCAGGTGGCGAATCGCTTTCCCGTTCCCTCCAGCGATGGAAAGACACGATCGACTCTGAGTGATGAAAGCATCACATGGTTCCGTGGATGGCATTGGAAAATGGGTCCCGGGGCTCCAGGAGGTTCCTATAGAAACCAGGGGGTTTTTCCCATGCATCTAACCATGTGTTTTCGTCAATGCCATTCTTGGGGGGTTCATGAGTGCCCGACCTGAGACTGGCCGAAGCGTGGTGGCGGTATGAGGATGACCTCCTTCATAGATGGAGATCAGGGGATGCTCTGGCATGTTTCCACCCGCGATATTCTCATACTGATCCACAAGTGAACACTGGAGATAGGCATGAAGTTATCCTTTCCTTGCAGTCCTTGCGCGACTCGGCACGTTTAAAAATAGATGCCTCAAAACCAGGAGTTCACGGACACACAGGCTCCATGAAGCAAGTTTGTAACTAGATTCCTAGATGCAGCTTATCCACGAGAATGGCAGGATGATCAGAGTCAGACATCTTGCGATTCAGGTCATCACGTAACCGTGGTGTCAGTGCACCGTGAGCCAGCTCTGTGATATATATATATATGCATCTTTTTAGGGGGGTTCATGGCTATGAGTTGCATTCTCCTGTCAGGTGTCATTCTGCTTACCCTTCCACATGTTTGAACTTCAGGCTGGTATTTGTGGAGTCGTTGGTGCAAACTGTATCAACAAATCATGCCAGTCAGATGTCCTGTGCTGTTGTTTGGGCGGTCCGTTGTCAGTTGAATCGCCGCTGTCAGTTGGAGAACTGTTTTGGGTCGTTGTTTTTTCTATCAAAACGTGCGTTCCGGCCTGGACTTTGCAGCACTCTTGTACAACGTGTTTTGTTTTCAAGAACGAGGAAAGAAAATGCAGAACACATCTCAAACTGAGTACCGACTTGAGCATTTCAGCTCAAATTGACAAATTTTTAGTTAGCTGTTGTTCTTGGGGCGTTCGGATGTTCCCGTTCCTTTTAGGCCTACTTCTATGGCCTTGTGGCGCTTCCAATGACAGCGAGTGCCCGGAGTCCCCATCGTTGCTGCAGGCTCACAGCAATTCGTCCAGCTCGAAGAAGAGGAAAGGGCCGGAGTATTGGCTCCAGATTGCCACCGCCCATCCTGGACCGAGCTCGGAGGGAGAGTGCTGGACGAATCAAAAGATCTATGCACAAGTGAAAGGTCATGGCAAGAGCACGGGATGGGGCACTGACCTGGCTCGCCAGGTCACAGGAACGAACTTTCGCTCGGGGGACCGAGTGATCTACCAGCTGAGTTGCTGGAACTCGGATTGCCCAAGTCCAGATGAAGTGGAAGAGATTTGCTTGAAAATGTCATATACAAGAACCTCGGATCGACGCTGGTGCCCAGTTGACGTGATAGTCTTTGAGAAGCCTACCCTTCGGAAGCTGGGCCAGGTGATGAAAGGCTGGCCAGAGAAATGGGAAAAGACGACAGATATCGCCGAGGGATTTTGCTTTCCCTTTGATATGCCTGTCGAACCTCCTGAACCAAAAGGTTACTTCATTGGCGAGGTGATGTACTGGGCAGATTTTGGGCTTCCAGAAAACTACAAGGATATGATTGTCGACATATTCCCGATTCCTGATGGAATCAAGAAGCAAGGAGCTTACAGCCTTTACTATGGCTTGAAAGACTACTTTCTCGCCAGGAGTGGTCGTTCGAACACCATGTTTCTTCTTGGGGACAATGGCTACCTTGGAGGCAATGAAAACCAAGCAAAGATTGCTGACGCCATTGAAGAATACAGCCTTGGCAAGATTTCCAAAGACCGGACGTTCCCCATTATTGGAAACCACGATGTGAATTCCCCTTCAGGGTGCGCGGACCGGGAGATGGACTTTGGTGCTTGCTTCTTCGGAGACAATGGATTCCTAGGCAACTCAAATCCAACCAAAGGCCTTGACGAAAAGGAATGGGTTCGGCGCTGGTTGGATGGCTTCCCGAGCTTGAAAGGTGGAACCGTGGTGATCCCAGAGAGCGGATCCGGCACCAACTGGAGAACACCCTACAGGTATAACATCGAGCTCGGCCAAGGCAGCAGCGTTTACTACATCGTTGGTCTTGTGGCAGGAACCAAGGTGGCGAACTTCGTGGGCCCCTACTGTGAGCCCAATTGCTTTCCATACGATCGTCGACCGCCCCCTCCACCTCCATCGCCAGAAACAGTGCCAGCTCGTTTAGAGTACATGACACCAGGAAAAGATGCAAATGGAGAAGGAGAGCAGATTGAGTGCAACTTTCTCCGTGATTCGATTGCCCATGGTTCCAAAATGGGCAAGAAGATCTTCATCTACCTAACTCATGATGGGCCAAGCCCGGTACACAGTGATGTCACGGTTTGCCCAGAGGTGTTCAAGAAGCTGGACATTTGGCTCTACGGACATATGCACTACATGGGCTTGTCTGCAGAACCGGGGCAAAGGGTCAGGCAGGACCCCGAGACATTCCCAGTTCGCTTTCTTCTTGGAAACGGAGGCTTTGATGAAGGGTGGCCGAATGATGAAGGCATCTCAGAGAATGCTGTCAGCTTCGTGACCATGAGAGAGTACAAGGAATCGGACCGAGTGGTGTTGTACTTCCAAGCCTGGGACACCGGCATCAGCGCCACGAATTGCCCACGCAAAGCTCTTCACCTGATGAATGAGTGCTGGCAACAACTACTTGAGACGGATGGCGTCCATGGCCGTAAGGCAATCAAAAGCAAAGAGAACTTCCATTTCACTTTTGAGGCTCCATTGTGAGCCGCCAGGCTCCTGGAAAGAAGTTCCAGCCGCCCAGGCTTTTGGGGGTTTCAGCCTAAAGAGCTGGAACAAGAGCTGGATGAGTCAAGGCATTTGTCCAGGCCACACAAGGGCGATATGGGACAAAACAACGCCGAACACTGTGAGAGATTTGCAAGATGAGTTTCTTCCACATAATCCGGCGCATTGCATGTGAGATGTGTCAACTTTCACCTTCCATGTGATCCAATGTTTGTGAGGACGCCCGCAACTGCTCGTCCTCTGCGTGCGCAGATGTCGCGTGGAACTGCGACCCTGACATCTTCCACCGTTCCACCAGCCGATCCTTTGCCTGAAAGAGTTGTTGCAGCCGATCTGGACGTTTGAGATGTTCCGAATGAGTAAAGAGGCTTTATTAAAAGTGCCATACAAAAGCCCTGAGCTTGGGTCCATCAGCACAGATTCCCTAAGGCATGTTTGCCAAGTCTTGGGACCTCGGCCGAGAGGTGACAAGAAGTTTGTTTGGAGTTTCGTCCGTGCAGATGTCCGAGGTCGGTCATGGCTCCGCGGAGGCACGCAGTTCCAACCCTCGACCTCGACCGGGAGATCTCGGGTGTGTGCACTTGGCACAAGGAGAAACAACGGCGCAAGCGAAACTGGCCGTGCTTGATCAACTGTTGTTTTTATCCGACCCCAGCCGTGGAGGAGTAATATATCTATAATAGCGTTCTTGTGACTAGTAGTAAGAATGCTACTAGCAGCGATGCCCGGGCTTCTTGCTCCTAGTAGTATGGCCAGACATTTTTCGCTAATGCGTGGGAAGCTGCGAGTAGCCTCTGTGGCCCACTCATTCCTGTGAGATCCATTCTCCGAGGCAAACGGTTGTCCCCTGAAGAAAATTTTGCGGGTTACATTAGTCAAGAAGACCGGGACTCTGCACTGAATAGAGTTCATTTGGTTGGGGTCCTGACTGGAGGAGGAAACAAAACTGACCTAGCGCTCCGTACCAACCAGACCCTCACAGATTTTCTGTTGCAGAATGGGGCCTCGAGTATCCAAACCCCGCAATTCGTCAAAGATGTCTTGATTCTGGCAGGTGTCACACGAATGCAACAAATTCTGGCTATGAGAGACCATGATGCTAAGCTTGCACAGATCAAGCATACAGCTCTACACTTTCATATTCCACTGCCAGATTTCGCAGATTTCGACGCCGATACCACAAAAAGGGTCCGACGTTTTGCAATCAAACGATCTGAGGATACTCCATCACATCAAGCCATGGAGTTTACCCTTCCCGACACTTTGTTTAAGTCAGCTACAGGCACTTTCGTAAAGGCGGGAACTGATCGCACACGTTCTCAGGGGGTCTTTCTGATCGACGCACCGGAGGCAGAAACATTTCTTACATCACATCAAGGTGCCACTGAACCATGCATCATGGTTGTCTTGGGGCCAACTTGCCCATTGGCCAACCGGACTTGCCGTGCCTGTAATTTGCCAGCCGCCGACAGTAAAGGTAATAAAGTCGTTATTGCAGTCTGCGTCCACATACTAGGATCTGCCAAGGTCACTCTTCATGGAGAAGATCAAGATGACATTGCCACGGAGTCCACGTCGGTCCTGGCCTTCACTGCATGGAAATCCGAAGTTACAGATTCATTATGGTCCGAGCTATGTGAAGCACCAGTGAGAACCCTATGGAAACTTTTCGCCATTGACCCAACAAAAAACGTCGTGACCAGACCATGGGGTCGAAGCTGGAGGAATGACACTGCTCCGACAGAACCCGATCAAGCGCAAAGTTTCCAAGTACATGTGAGAGTTTTTACTTCCATTGTCTCGACCATACTTGCTCAGTCAGGGTCGCAAGGAGTCTTCGTTAATCCTAAAACCAGTGACGGAAATGCAGTAGATCCGTCCTATGCCATTATTTGGCTTAAGGATAAAGACCGCACGCAGGCACTGGAAGAGGCCAAAAAGATCCCCGAACAGGTTGGCTTAGTCTTGTCCTCCAAAACCAAACGCGGATATGGCGTGCGGGTTCCCAGTTCCGCATACGAGGAAGCACAGGGTATCCTCCAGCCATC